AGGACCATCAAAAATCAGCATTGAAACTTGCGTCCTGCCTTTCCCTGAAGATACACTTTGCTGGAACAAGCTGGCAAATGATGCATATAATCAATGTGACTGGACTTCAGGCTCAAAAACAGTCTGATTTTCACTTGGGGAAAGTTTTGAGCACATTTTGTTAACAGCTTTCTGTTTCTTGTTATTTTTCCCCCTGTATGTTAAACAATGGATGCTAGTAGCAAGGACACTGCACAAGCAGGTACTCTTATTCTAAGGCATAGATTCATGAAGATTATGGGCTGGGAAATTAACTTTCTTCTTAGTTGAAAAAGGTTTGAATTTTACCAATTTTAATATAGACCAAGATTCTTGTTTACATTTTCCTTAATAATGGCATATGCCCAGGGTTCCTAGAGCTGATTACACAATAAAGGTATAGTTAATCTGCAGATCCATTTTTGTTGCCCATGTCTGTATTCTTAAATAGCATGTACATTTAGAAAGAATGTATTCTCATATACTTAATTTGTTAAATACACAAACTCTTAGCTATAGGAGGAGGTCTTGCTTTTATTTATTCCAAAGTAACCTTGGAACAGTCACTTTATTGTGTATTTCTCAGAACCTCTGTGAGTTCAATATCTGATTAACACATTAAACTCACATGAGTATTCAAAGATTTTTTAAAAATATATTACTTCTGTACTTCATTTCTTCCTTTTTGAAAAACAAGTAAGTTTAATGTGGAAAACAAAATATTGTAGAATTTTTCCAAATACATTGGCCTCAATGCTATGTTAAAATCATATTATTTTCTCTATACAGCTAATATTTAGACCTGACGAAGGTGCTTGTGGGATGAATGGACCATACGACATGCTACTTGTGGAACAGTATATTTAAAAAGCCTGTTAACATATAGTTTAAAACTCAAAAGAAACTCTGAACAGCTGAAATGCCTTATAACTAGCGCAGACCCAGAGGAAGTGCAAACGTCTGCATTGTGAATTGTAGATCTTAATTACCGACAATGGCTGGTACAGCAAGTAGCACAGAAAAAAAGTGAAACAGTTGCACTGTTCATGGTTAGCAATAATTCTTCAGGAAAATATTTACTATCAATCAGTTATGAGAAAAGGGACTCTGTGCTCATAAAACAGCACGTTGCTTCTCATACCAGGACCATTTTGCTTCAGCATAATCTGAATTTAAACAGCTTGTTTCCTGCGGATATAATTTTGGAAATAAATAAAACAAGTCTTCTATCAAAATCTGGAGTGAGTGGAAAGAAGCATCACATTTTTCTGTCTCAGTCAGTTTCAAACAGATTATTAGTCTCAAGTAAAAAAACAATAACAACAAAATACAACAACTAAACTAGAGAACATCTACAAGGAACTACTGAAAGGACTTATTTTACCACATAAAAAACCAAAACTTCTCCCATCTGGACCAGAAATCTAGATAGACATATTTGAACTCAATTTAACTCTGTGTTTATATATATGTTTCTGGATGTAGGTAATGGTAAAATAGGGAAAAGCCTATAACCAAAATTGTCAGTAATATTTTCATAAAGTCAATAAAAACAGAACAAAAAATTAATGGTCTACAGTTTTCCAGTTACTTTTCTGTACCAATTAAAAACCATCATGAAGGTTGGCAATTAGGCACAATGTGATTATGGATTTTAAAGACTAAGTTGACAGTTAATAATGACTGTCCATTTAAAGCTATACTAGATACTGAACTCATAATGTTCCAAACACAAGGAACAGGGCTATAACCAGAAAAAAGGATTTTGAAAAAAAAAAAAAGACATTTATTTTGATGTTTCCAAATATTACTTGGGTTAAGTCATATTGATAAAATGATCCCTTCCCCACTTTTATTTTTAAATCTTTTCTTAGGCCGCTTTCTTCAAGTTAAATTTTCAAAAGACCTATGGTACACAACCTAGGAGAGCTATAGTTTGTTAGCTTGTTTTATTCCAAAAAAGAACTAATGGGTACACTTTTTACAGAGTTACTATACAATTAAGATATTTCGGCTCGGCTCCTATAGCTCAACCGGCTAAGGCGCCAGCCATGTACACCTAAGGTGGCGGGTTCGAATCCCCAGCC